TAATTTCTAAAGCTCGTGGAAGAGGGGATGGGAGGAGGACGGGTGAAAAAATTATCTACTGCAGGGAAAAGCAATTCAATCATCTGGTCCTCCTGCTACTTACTTAAGCACACCCTGGGAAGACCATTTGGTTAGATAAGCTCCACAATCTTGTCGTAAGCAGCGCAAATCATGGGGATATACCTGGGGTAACAAAAGAATACGCAAAAGATTGGAGGTAAATTGGACACTACTCTGAACTTAATTATTAGCATAGAACAATATCCTTTAAGATGTCGAAGGCACGTAATCAATGAAAAGGGCTAGGAAAAGATCAACCTAAAAAAGAACTGACCTTTTTCAGCGATCTTCGTTCGATTCCTAATCGTTCTTGAAACAAGAGGTACACTTCAAACCATGCACATTAACATTGTAGAAAGTATAAAAGAATAGTGTTATTTGAGAGGATGGTCTGAGAAAGTGAGTAAGAAGTTTGGAAAAGCAAGCAAGATCTTCACGCTTCTATCGTACTTTAGTGAGACCACACTGGAAGTCTTCGGCTTTGATAGAGCCGTTTTTCATGAGCGCCTCGGCAATTTTCTCTCCAGCATCTTTATCAGATTTAGCCTTCTTGACAGGGTCAGCAGCGAGAATAGCGTATCTAGAAGTGCAGTTTATTAATAATATCATTGAAATTTATAGACTATAGCGTACCTATGTTTGAAGTCCTCATAGGGCATACGGTTAGGGAATCCTTTACGGCAGATACGTATACCTTCCAAGACACCATTGCATGTCAGTTGGTTCAATACCAGGTTAGCTTCGATGACCCCTAAGTTACTTTTGTGGTATCCATAAGGAATGTGGTTACCAAAGTCCTGCACAAAACATGCTCCACACGAAATTGCCCAATTAATCCACAAAGCTGATAAGCAATTTCTGTTCCTTGTAAACATTAGTCATCTGCTTATCACCATGGTATTCATTACAAGAAGGAATTTTCCGGAACGGGTGTTTTTTGTGCAGTTACACATGCGCATAAGTGCGTTCGGCTGCATATGATTTTCGATGAAC